CAGCAGCAACTGGGTTCTACCCCTGAAGGAACTAAAGTGCTCAACTGTGCATTTTGCAGGGTCCAGTCTGACGCAGGGTTCTCGACTAAGGGATGATAGGTTTCTGCTGTTGGAAGCAGAAACGGAAGAGGGGAAATATTTGCGTGTCGCAGTCCAAAAGGAAAGTGGTGTATTATGATTTCAGGCAGCAGGGAGTGGGTCAGTGATGGATGGTTGGACGGAACCGTCCTCCTCTGGAGTTCCTGGGTCTTTCCTAAGTGTTGTTTGAACAGCACGAGGAGCAGAATGACGTTGGGTCAACAGACACCCGCTGCCCAGACGCTCTGATCACAGAGAGACAGACGCACACACACAGGCTGCAGGTGACTATTAATCACCGCCAATCCTCTGAGAAGGACACATCACACCCCTGTGACGCCCGCAGGCTCCGGGAGAAAGATGCTTCCTTCAGATTCTCTCCAGATTGCGCTGGAATTCTGAGTTCATTCAAACTTTTTTTTAAAAAAACATCAGACGAATAATTTTAATTAAATTACACTTTTTTAAATTGATATTGTCATATTTTTACCATCCAGCTCTTCATCTAATCATGTAAAGCTTTAGAAATAGATGGAAGAGAAAAAAAAATCTCATCAGGTCAGAGGAGAATAAACTAAATTTGACAAGATTTTTCAAAATAACTAAGTAGCTTAGCCTAAAGTGATGTTAAAGTTAAGGAAGAATGGCTAAAGGCTAGAAAAATGTATATTACAAGATCAAATTCTGTATTTAACAAGTATTATTTAATAAGTCAGCCAAAATTGTAGCCAGATGTTATCTGGTGCTAGAAGCATGCTAAACCTAAACATGAATTCATTAATAAAGTTCTGTTACCTGGAATGAATGTTCTCAGCCTGTGGCTGGGGTTTCCAGTCCACAGTCAATCTCACCATCAGTGTCCAAACATCTCAGTGTCACTGACTGTTGTTGACAGTGTCACTGACTGTTGTTGACAGTGTCACTGACTGTTGTTGACAGTGACTGACTGTTGTTGA